GACATTAGAGAGCAGGTTGCACGGGATTTTGCCTGAGGGTGGCAGAGACCTTGAGACGCAGGTTGGTGTGGATGAAGAGCGGGAAGCCGCGCAGCTGCGCGCCCACCAGCGTCTCCTCAGAGGGCGGGTGGAAGCCCACGACGCCGACGCTGTACTCGCGGCAGTACTTGTCCAGCAGCTCGCGATTCCATTTGTCCATCTGCAGGTATTTGTTCAGGTTCTCGAACACGATCACGCCGTACTTGCCCTTGTCCAGGTTGGTCAGCACTGGCAACGACTTGCCTGCCACTTCCACTTTGTATCTGAAGCAGAGGGGGAAAATATTTTTTAAAGTAGGAAACTTTTAGATTACGTCGCATAGAGTTTCTTTCTTGCTCATCTTCCGTAAGCAAATATACCTCAAAACACCTTTAATTTCCTACTCTCGTTTGGGGATAATAAAAAAATATACCTGACTAACGATTTTCCACGACTTTCAATTTCTGAACCTTCTAGATGTAATTTTACATTGACTCTGTTGAAATAGTTTATAGAGGTAAAAACCATTCTGTATATCTATGGACCGCATTGTGACGTAATTTCACTGTGCCTAATAAGTGTTACCACTTCCGAGGCCGGCCAGGCCAAAGTTATACTCGTGTCATTTCCCTAACGTGCAGGCAACCCGTAAAACACTACAGTAGGACACGTTATCGGCCAATCAGGGGCATACAACACGTGTAACTTTATTGTTTGAGATTTCCCACGTTCACTGCCAAAACGTGTACATCTTTGAGCTCTCTACTACTCCCTTGAGCCCTAGAAGTTTGTCTCATATGTTCTGAGACATTCTGAATTGAGTAGCCCGCCCCTGTGGCCCGGACCTAGGAGCTTAGTGCTGCGTACAATTGCTGCACAAGGGAGTTTACCCTTTTCGCCATTTACCTATACCATTTACCTCTCGAGAACCCCCATACAACACACACAGTTTTTATTGGTTTTTGACTAAATAAATAAAAACCTTAAATTTCCCCCTAGCGAAACACAAAAATGACAATAAAATACGAATTCATTAGCAAGTAATGACAACTTCGATTTGATCCAATTCACAACAAATAAAAACACAAACAAATGCAAAGAAAACAAAAGTTCGACATAATCTTACAGTAAAATGCAAACGTGTTTGGCAATGTGTTACGTGTTAACCATTTCTTACTTCAAAACCCACTCAATAATACTAACGAAAATTTATGCCCCCAGAAATAATTGTACGTGTTTGAAATCTTAAAACGGGGGGGGGGGGACAGTCGTTGGACGCACCACGCGGCAACACTCAATGAACTATGGATTAACTAGTTGAATGTCGAACTAAGTAATTTTTTAGTAACTATACTACAATTATTTCCCAATAAAATCAGAACGTACACATTGCGTGGGTTTTTTAAAAGTCCCTTGTTTTTAACCCTTGGAAAAGGCGAAAGGGCCCGCACTCATTTCGTGCGGTTGTAATTGAGCTGCTTGACCCGAGGGAATTGCGTGAAATTTAATAGAACCAATTCGTGTTTACCCCTGATTATTACGCAGGGGCGCTCGGCAGGAAAACGAAATCGCATTGGCTCTGTCCGAACGTCAAGAGCCGCACGTCGGCCAGCGAGAGCGGGGAAAGAGCGAGTAAAGGGAGGTAGACAGGCCGCGTAGCGGGGAGGAGATTCACCACTGAATGATTGAATATTGCAGCAAGCCTCTTACTTAATCTCAAAAAAAATTGTCAACAAGTAAAGAGTCACTATTTTTCGTTGGATTATTTTTTTTAGGAATAATATCTAGTTGTATAACCATCCTAAAATTTTCTCCGACTATTAATGATTCTTCTACAAAATCTCTACATTTACCCTGAGTTGTTTAAAGCACGGACATTTCTTGATTTTCGCTGGTTTGCCATGTTTTCCGTAAATTGGCCACTCTGCAATGTCTTAGAAGTGTGTGAAGAGAAATTAGACTAAGAAGGGACCAGTCTGAGAGGTCGGAATTCATAAGAAAGTCATGTTGGACGATGGCATTGCAAGAAAGCCATTGTCGACAGCATTTACAAGGGAGCAAACTGCAAACGAACGCATTAACTAATTTAGCACATGGCCGTAGCCAGCATTTATTCTCCCAGCAGTAGCCAAGCAGTAGCTGTCAAAGCGGTCCCTTCTTATAATGAAATCTCCATAACAGAGATCACCAAACCGTTGATCGCGAGCACCTAGTAGCTCGCGGCCAGTCTCAAGGTTGGTTACAGGGCTACAAACAGATGACTTATTTTTCTTGTACACAGTTTTAATAAAATTTGCTTCATACTTAATAGAAATGAATGTTTATAGACACACAAATGTTAAGATTTGAAGAAAAAAATGTTTCTTGGTAGGATTGAAACGGTTCGCTTGATAGTTTCGCCCGGTCGGCCACCCGCGACCACCCCCGTGTAGCACTCACTTGATGCGGTTGTAGACGAGCAGCTCGGCGATCTCGCGTCCGAGGCGCGAGTAGGTGGTCTCGACGAAGACGAGCACCTTGGGGTCGATGCGCAGGCGCGCGGGCGAGCGGTGGTCGGGCGCGCGCGGCGGCGGGCGCGCGCCGCCGCCCAGCACCGCGCAGCGGATGGCCGGCTCGGGCCGCGCGTCGCGCATGCGCATGACAGGCTGAGCGGCGACGCGGCCAGGTAGTGCGTGGTGAGCAGGATGGAGAGGAAGCCCGAAGCGATGAAAGGAAGTAGGTGAGGCGCTTCAGGGCGAAGGGCTTGCAGGCAGAGGCGGCGGCGCGCGGCGGCGGGCAGGGCCGCCTCGGGCCCAAGCAGCGCGCCCGTCGAAGACGCCACGCTGCGTTGCGCTCCAGCGGCATGGCGGGGCGGGGCAGGGGCGGGGCGGGGCCGCTCCGCTCTATCTGTCGATCTTCCGGTCACGCCGCCATTTACTGTGCTTCCACGGCTGCTGCGGGGCCATGGCGCGCGGGGGGCGGCGGCGTCGGGCGGGCGGCGGCGCGGCGGCGGCGGCACCGGGGGCGTGGCTAGCGGGCTGGCAGCTGGAGGACGCACTCCCGACGCCGCTGCACGGCATCACGGCCCCTCGCGCCCTGCAACGACACACACCCGTCACACTCCGAGTCAAGGCTACGCAGAAGAAATGATTGGAAAGAAAGAAGTGATTTCTACAATTAGAGACTGTACTGACCATCAAAAAGAAAAGTAATATTCGGTTTAACAATGATATCTATTGTATTAGTTGCCATTTGGACTGTATAATTCTAAACCACATGAAACAAGAATTGGACCTCAGCTGATGGGTCAATGACCCCCATCTCGATCAGGTTTTTGTCCAATTTCCCTGATCCTTTGAGCAAATGCTCACATGACCCCTTGTTTTGCTTCCGACGTTAATGTAACTTCTCTATATGTGAACATTTTCTTAAGCTCAGTCGGGAATGTACATATTAGAATAATGGTTTTCAATTTTATCATGGCAGTTGATTTCGTCACTACATCACTAGAGCTAATAGTAGATATCTAATAGCTTATTTTCTTTTGTAAATAATCTCTATTACACAACAAATATGTTCATATCAATTCTTGACAAGAACGCTCGTCGCTACATGAATTCATAATTCATCTTACTATAAGAGTTAGAACTCATATTCCAGAGCTCACCAAACCCTGCATACATATCACTTCTCCCCATAGTACGTCACACAGTTTTTAACTGTTTTTGACATTAGATAAATAAATAAACAAGATCAAATTACACTTTTACTGCAGATGGAATTCTAATCTCTGTTTATCAATTTTGGATCTACAAATCTGAATTATAAGAGCGTAGGCTTCTACCGCCGGAGTCAGTATTTATTTGGCTGTCCGGGAGGCGCTGCGTCCATGGCGAAGGGGCCGACGCATCACGCCCTGAGGAAGGTCGCAGAATGGCGACCGAAACGTCGGCACCTTCGCCATGGACGCGGCGTCACCCGGACAGCCAAATAAATACTAAATCTGAATTACGTTCACAATAATCCTGGAAGAAATGTCCCGAATATTCTCTAGCTTTAAAAGCAAACCTACCCTCCCTTAAATAAATTATTCTCAACAATTGTTTTTAATTGTGCAGCCTCAATATTTTCATAGAATAACAATGAAGATCAACACAATGTTGTATACTACACTGCGTACGTTTTATGTATACAGGCACTATATCGAAATTAGTGTTACAAACTCTTACGGCATGTAGAGACGTCGAAACTGATAACGTTTCGACAAAGAACATGTTGATATAACGGAGTTATAATCAGATACAACGGAGTTATATTCAGTTATACATGGCAAATTTGTGCCCGATTGTCGGGCAACCCTACATGCACAGATGTTCGGTAGGTTCATCAAATGTACTTGGCTGCTTCTGAACGTCATCAGCCAATATGTGCTTAAGGTGTGCCTAACAATCACAGAAAATGTCACATGTGTAACTTGCATGAAGCTTCCCACTACAATTGAAACGTTCTTTGAGCCATCTGTGAGCCTTCTTATCTCTGTTCCTTAGTTTCCAGAAGGAATGATCGACTAGGGCCGACATGCCCTGCAAGCTCGGCCACCGTGGTATATACCACGTCTTCCCGTACCTTCGCTTGATGTGGCCAGTTACTCAGCGTGTTCTTGGTGAACCTTACAAGCGTGATCCGCGGGACCATATCTACTTGGATAGGCTAGTGGAATGGCCGCCCCTATGCAGCGCCCACTGACGCCCGGAGGCCAACAAGCAGTCCGTAAAGAACACAATCCAGGGGTAACATGTAAAAAAATATTGATTATAAGTGCCTGTGTTATGGTCTTCCCTACCAGAAAAAAACAGGAATGATGGGTTGGGTTAGAGAGATGAGTGGAAACCATGTCACAACAGAGTGACCACGCATTTCCTGGATCACATATACCACACTTTCCCTGGTTTCCCAGTTTATTTTTCATGTTCTTCCTTACAATATTTGTAATTTCACGCTACTTCAAGAAAATATTAAAGCTGCCGACACTAATTGATCAACTCTGATTTTACTATCTCGATGTACAAATTAAAAATATTCTCATGAAATAAAATGTAAGCAAAAAATAACAATGTACTAATGTATTCAAGAAATAACATCTTACCTTATAACCCTCCTGAAATTTTCCCTGATTTCTAGCAAATATTTTATAAATTTCATGAATTTTCCAGGGCAATGAAATTTCATTTTTCCCGGTGTTTCATCTTTTCCAGAAAGTGATCATCCCGCAACAAACAAAAAAGTTTATTTCGGGTTCATTATACAAAATTTTATCATACATAACAAACTGGAAACAATTTTTTTAGTCAATGACATCAACAATCACACAAATTATCCAAACCATTCTTGAGTTGCGTTCAGAGGGAGGAGGGGAGCAACCCGACGTAGGATGGAGAACGAGGCGGGTGCTGCTCGGAGGCACACACAAAACACTCGTTTCTCCGGACGGTGTCGTCCCGAAACGGAAAGCGTGAGGCAAGAAACTGTAACTAATGGACTATTTTAATATTAGCCAAGCATATACAACTGGTGGTGATAAAACAGCACCTACTTTCTCACCCATACTTTCACGCCAAATTACCCGAAAAATACTCAAATTTTCGAAAAATTGTACCTGACCTGTCATAATCTATTTTTAAGGAATAGACCTCATTGAGGGAAAATGTCTTTTTCCATAATTGTAGTTGTAGAAAAACGCTAAAAAATTAGAGTTTTTGCAATTTTCGAAAAATTACCATTCTTTTTAACATCCTTCAAACTATCCAACATCAAAATTTATTCAAAAACGAATAGGTCTTTTTTTTTCTTGAAAATTTTGGAAATGTCCCATGGGCTTCATGTAAAGTACTCTCGAAAATTAAAATATCGGTTTCAAATTCAAGAGGCCACGACATCAACCAGATCAATTGGGCTATATCAATAGCGGGGAATATCAATAACGGAGAAAATAGGCTAATTGGTTTAGCCGATAGCGTTGTTCACGTACAGACAGACGTTTTGCCGTCATTCTATATTTCTCTATTAAGAACCAACTAAACATTGATTCGGGCTACACCACGTGTTAGAGGATTGTTTTCCTTCTAATTTTCGCAACTAGATTTATTCACTTTTTCGTCACCAGGACCCTGTAATAAGAGTTTTTTCTGCCGAAAACTCGCCGTTTTTTCGCGCAGCATTACATCTTAACTACATAAGCGGTAGCGAGAAAGTAAAAAGTGAGCACTAACATTGGCCACAGCAAACATCTTCGAAACGGCTTGAGATATCGGGATGCGGTTTACGTCAGTAGTAGTGGATGATGGGAGAATTTACACATTTTGATTTCCAATTAGTAAGTCAAAATTAAAAAATAAGTCACAGATATAACTTTTTTTTTAACGGAAGAATATCTTTTTTCCATCCCCATTCTACAGTACTCGAAGAGACAAATGCAATGATATCATTGTTAATATTCGGAAAGAAACTGTAGTAAATTGCTTTCCCAGAAGCGTCTTTCCGCAAAGGTTGCATCGAAGGTAAAAGGAGTCAGTGCTTCCGCTGGCGCTTCGCTCTCTAGATAGAAATCGAAATTGAAACTTACGGTTTCAATGCAGGTAAATATCCTTATTTGTATTGCTTTCTTGCATTGGTCAACTACATACGTTCATTTGTTTCTGTATAGGATTGTCGCAAAACAAACTAATTCTTCGGGTACAAGAAAATAATGATAGGAATAAAGAGGATAATAATGATCGTATCAATAATGGAATGTATTAATTGATCTGTCAATTAAGATAATAAAAACAGCGAATAAAGTCACTCTTTACTTGCACTCAATGGTGTGTGTTAGAATGTAATTTTGGTCTGTGATGAATTAAATTACTACCTGCAGCGTTGCTAGTTCCCTAGAGCTTTGCGTCTTTAGTGGAAAGTGCGTGTGGCCTTGTCTGCGCTCAGTCATCTTCCTATTCCGTGTGTGACCTCGCTCTCGTAGGCCAATTAGGCTCTCGTAGGCGCGGCTAAGTGATCCTGAAATGCGGCCTACCGAAACCGTGCAAGAATCACATTTATTTAACAACCTAAAATTAATCTAATATGCTTTTTAATTGTATCAAAATAATTATATCTACAAAGTAGACAAAGTAATAATTGAATGATCTACAGACAAAATTTTGTTTATAATATTTTAGTAATTCTAAGTAAATCGTGAATTTGTTCGAATTCTGAAGATTTTCGTTTATTGATCAATAAAAGCTTATCATTGTGGAATATGGACACAAATTTTATTATCTTCCAGAATTAGTCACAAAGAATGAGTTATGCTTGTAGCCATACAGAAACAAGTTAACATCTAAATACAATACCAGTGTAAGAAAGCAATACAGATAAGTATAGTTACATTGAAAACACGATCTTACAACTCGATTTCTATCTAGAGAGCGGAGCGCCAGCGAAGGACAGGCGCTTTTCGCCTCCCGGACAACCGTTGCGAAAACGCATGGAAAGTCAGTTTGTCAGATAGATATACGAAGACCGAGAATTAAAGAGCGGCGGGAGATAAAGGGTGCGGTAGAAAAGCTGACTATTGACTAATTGTGATCGTTTCACATTAGTCAGGAACATTACGCAACTCTGTAGAAATGTTCGCATTGTCAAAGGCGATGCGTCTGCTGGACAAAATCCTCAGCCTCGGCACTACAAAACTGAGGCTGGCGCTAGGAAGAGGGAATTCAGGGGACCAACTATATTTTCGTAAAACGTCTCCTACAAAACTTGCGGTAGCAATAACATTGTGGAAAGTCTCTTATAATGAGACCGTTTCAAAACCGACAGGATGCTTCCGAAATGCCCATTCCCTCCACCTCATTTAGTTTCGCAACACAATTTTGAAGCGAGGGAGCGCCGCTGTGTTCTTTTGAGCGAGAGAGCGCCACCGGAGCAACACGCAAAGCACATGCACGTGGCGCGCAGCAGGCCAGCACCCAACAACACGTGGCCTTTATTTATACAGCACGAAGCAGGGCCACGTGCCCTCCCTTTCCCTCCCCCTGCGCGGGGCCACACGCGCGCCGACT